TTATTTTAAATTTATTTATTTACAATAAAATAGTTTTTAATTATAAATTTGCTTATTATTAATTAAGGGGTGTGGCTTTTGGCCACGCCCCATGACGTCATTTCCCTTTAGCCCCTCCCATTTTGGCCGCCATTTTGAGAGCCAAAAAACCCTTTTTTTCCCCCCATTTTTTTTTACTTTTTTACATTTTTGTCACGTTTTTTCCCCCCATAATAATTTTTTGGGATCTTTCCATCCTCCAACCCCACCCCAAAAAATTTTAGGATATTTTCCCCCAAATTTTCAGGCTTTTCGTGGCAATTTTACCCACAAAAATCCCACATTTACATCTGAAAATTTCCAATTATTTCCCATAAAAATCCCAAATTTTCCCGCCTCAAATAAATCCCAGTAATTCCCTAAAAAAGTCCACAATTCACCCTTGTAAAAACCAATTTTTTCCTCCATAAATATCTTTCTTTTTCCCCATGAATTTCCCAATTTTACCCCAAAATATGCCCAATTTTATCCCAAAAAATCCCCAATTTTCCCTTTTAAAAATTCCCCATTTCCCCCTATAAAAATCCCAATTTTTCCTCCCAAAAAATCAATTTTCCCCACATTCTTTCCATATTAAAATCGCTTTCCCTCCCCCACATAAATCCCATTTTTTCCACCCTAAAAAACCCCCAAACTCCCCCCATAAAAATCCCTATTTTTACCCAAAAGAATCTTTAATTTTTCACACCAAAAATCAATTTTTCTTCCATTTTCTGTTTTTCAAATCCCATTTTCTCCCCATTTTTTTTCTCCCTACCTAATTCCTTGTTGCTCTTCTCAAAATTTGTGTGATTTTACCCAAATTTTGGGTGGTTTTGCCCGAATTTTGGGTGTTTTTACCCAAATTTTCACTTTTTTTTGGTTTCTTTGCAGGCCACCACGTAGCGCTGGGCCACGTTGAGGGGCGGGGAGTAACCGTCGGCGTAGGAGGTGTCCTCGAAAAGCACCGAATAATCGTCCTGGGGCTGAAATTTGGGGGAAAAAATGGAAAATTTGGCGAAAAATTTGGATTAGTAATGAACCATGCCCATGAGAAACTTCCTTATATGGCAATGGCTTCCCTAGCAACAAGCCACGCCCCTTAATGGGGCAATGGCTTCCTTAGCAACAAGCCACGCCCCTTAGCAACACACTAATATGGCAATGGCTTCCCTAGCAACAAGCCACGCCCCTTGGCAACACCCTTATATGGCAATGGCTTCCCTAGCAACAAGCCACGCCCCTTAGCAACGCTCTTATATGGCAATGGCTGCCCTAGCAACAAGCCACGCCCCTTTGCAACGCCCTTATATGGCGATGGCTTCCCTAGCAACAAGCCACGCCCCTTTGCAGCAAGCCACGCCCCTTTACAACGCCCTTATATGGCAATGGCTTCCCTAGCAACAAGCCACGCCCCTTAGCAACACACTAATATGGCAACGGCTGGCCTAGCAACAAGCCACGCCCCTTAATAGGGCAATGGCTTCCCTAGCAACAAGCCACGCCCCTTAGCAACAAGCCACGCCCCTTAGCAACCCCATATATGGCAATGGCTTCCCTAGCAACAAGCCACGCCCCTTAGCAACACCCTTATATGGCAATGGCTTCTCTAGCAACAAGCCACGCCCCTTAATAGGGCAATGGCTTCCTTAGAAACAAGCCACGCCCCTTAGCAACGGCCTTATATGGCAATGGCTTCCTTAGCAACCAGCCACGCCCCTTAGCAACGCTCTGATATGGCAATGGCTTCCTCAGCAACCAGCCACGCCCCTTAGCAACGCCCTTATATGGCAATGGCTTCTCTAGCAACAAGCCACGCCCCTTAGCAACGGCCTTATATGGCGATGGCTGCCCTAGCAAGAAGCCACGCCCCTTAGCAACGTCCTTATATGGCAATGGCTTCCTTAGCAACAAGCCACGCCCCTTAGCAACGCTCTTATATGGCAATGGCTTCCCTAGCAACAAGCCACGCCCCTTAGCAACGTCCTTATATGGCAATGGCTTCCTTAGCAACCAGCCATGCCCCTTAATAGGGCAATGGCTTCCTTAGCAACAAGCCACGCCCCTTAGCAACGCCCTCATATGGCAATGGCTTCCCTAGCAACAAGCCACGCCCCTTAGCAACACACTAATATGGCAATGGCTTCCCTAGCAACAAGCCACGCCCCTTAGCAA